TTAAATGCGGTAAAATCAAATATACTCGTATATAAGGCTCACATGCGGGCCTTCTGGCAGACTGGCAATGTAATGCAATGCATTGGCGTCCATGGGTGGCGGTATCACTTAACATCAGCCAAACCTTCTGCCCGTTTGCCCCCTGTTGTATATAAACGAATGCATTTTGGAATTCCCCTTCACAGTAATTAAAGATTTCCAGCATAAATTTATGGGCGGAGCTCCCCGACTCCGTACGATTAGCTACCTCTTTAATGTATTCTACATACATGCCTCTTTGCCATATCCTATTCATCTTCAATCCCGACTTTTGTAATTCATGTAGTTGCTAGTTCGTTTTTATTGTATTTTGGAACCTAGTATTAAACGTGATTCATGAATTCGCTTTTATTATTTTTTATGTTACTTAAATACCATTTTTCTTTTTCCTTGCCTGAAACAGATCGCTCGTGATTGGCTTTATCCCTAATAAAGCCGCCCGTTGCCTCCTTAACAATTTATGTTACCTGATTGTTTATGCACTACTTATTAATACAACGAAGTGTCAATAAATTTAATAAAAGTCCTAAATGTAACTCTCTGATGTAATTTAAATCGTTTAAAAGCCTTATAATTTATAATCTAATTAATAAATGCACTATAAGCTACAATTGTGAAAAAATATTCTATCGTAGTGATAAGTTTTAAATTTTGGGTTAAGGTTTTATGAATGAAAAGAAAAAACTTTATGACCATTTCGACCGTCACTTAATTTAAACAAATATTTAGAGTGTTAAAACCACTGTACTATAGTGATATCTTGTAAATTTTATGTCATAAATACTATGGACATATTGAGAATGCATACGACATAGAATTGCTATAACTATAATAGGATGTCATTAGGTTACAACAATTATTATAATAATTGTAATCGTTATTATAATTCTTCAAATTTCTCTCTACTTAATGACAAAGGATAATAAAATGTTTATGGGAACCAGGTGATTCATGACTAAACGTTAAAAAAGGTGTCATGCATTAATGTAATAAAATGAATAAAGGAAATGAGTAAAACAATATTTTTTGTTCCATAAAACGACTTTTGCGTGTA